GGCGTATTGCGCGCCTGGTAGACTGTGGGCTCCTCTGTTGTCATCCAATCTGTTGCCGTATCCAGCAGGGTCTGCAGCATCTCTGCAGTTAGCCTGTTCCTGAGGAGGCCCAGGCGCTGTAGACACAGAAACCAACACACAACAGTTGATCATGTGTGTAAGAGAGATGAGGGAACATCAGTGCAAAGAGAGAAGGGACTGCACCGGAGTGTCGCGTTGATCATACCACAGATAGGTCTCGCATACTGTTTCTGCTGGGACAGACCTGGTGATTCTGGCTCTCTTGTCCTCGCCCTCAAGAACCGGACGCTCGATCTCCGCTTCCAGCATCTGTCTTATGGTAGCGTCGCTCTCCGGGACTATAATCTTATAGTGGCGGGTCCTCTTCTTCTTCTGCTTGAGCTTCCTTCTTTTCCTTCCCTCCTCTGATCTTGCTTTATTCTTACGCCAGGTTCTTGAGGGAACTACGTGTGTGTGTGTGTGTGTGTGTGTGTGTGTGTGTGTGTGTGTGTGTGTGTGTGTGTGTGTGTGTGTGTGTGTGTGTGTGTGTGTGTGTGTTAGGAGCGGTCAGTGTGTGTGAGTAAAGCATGAATCTATCTTGCGTCAAAACAAAACAAACAAACAAACAAAACCTGAAGTCGTACCAGATGGAGTGGGTGGGGCGGGCGGCTGTTGCCCGGCCTGGTCGACCTCGTTCTCGTTCTCCTCTTCCTCGGCCTCGTCGTCGACTTCCTCGGCCTCGTCATCGACCTCCTCGGCCTGCGGGGGCGCGGTCAGGGCACAGCCCGGGGGCAGGCGCACAACGACCTGTTGTTGGTTCTCCTCGGTCTCTTCAGGCGCCTTCGCCTCGGCCTCGAGGTCCTGGTGGTCGCCGACGCCGTGGCGCCGGCGCAGCATCTCCAGGTCCCACTCCAGCTCCTCGTCGGCCTCCCGCATCTCATCGGCGCGCCGCTTCTGACCGCGGTTCAATCCCTGTAGACGCGCGGGGCGTCAGTGGCCAGCACGCCATGCAGTCAAAACCAAGATCGACGAAATGTCGGCAGTCGGCGTGTACCTTGGTGGCCGGCGCCTCCTGCTTCTCCAGCAAGTCGGGGGCGTCTGGCGGCTCCTCCTCGTCAGTGTCGTCAATGTCAACGTCGTCGTAACCCCCATTCGCGTTCCTGTGCCCATGATACAACAAAGCGAAAGGAGGTGATCGAGTGAGCAAACACGTAAGTTGTCACACCACCAGCGAGCAGAGATGAGGCAGACGTACATGTGCTGCTTCAACTGATTAATCTCGAGGTGGCCGTGCGTCACCTGGGAAGAAGCAGCACTCGCCCTGTTCTTCCTGCGCCGGCTCAAAGCCTCGCTGTGCTTCTGAGAGAGAGAGAGAGAGGAAGGGGGGGATGAGCTCTCAGAAGATGGGGGGATACACAGCTCACAATCTCAACTTGTTGAGATGAATCAATATGAATGAAACAGCGGGATTGTACCCGCAGCACGCGCAAAGAGCGCCGCATCGTCACAAAGCGCGCTCACAGAATCGTCAGCTGGCTATGCTGTGAAACCTTGAAGGCCTTCATGTTTGCGGAAGCGACACACAGAATCCTAAAAAGGTTTATCTCAGGAAAAACGAACAATTTAATTCGTAGTTTCAGGGAAATTTCGGTGCAAAGAAACCTAAAAGCGTAACCTTGCAAACACCCCAGTTCTCCCTGCGAGGAAAAAAAACCCCAGTCTCCCTGTGCGTCAGTCCCGTGGCGTAGAAGAGCTGCGTGAGGCCGACCAGCATGACCTAGTCCACCACCACCTGGTGGCGTCTGGTGAGGGAGTCACGGACAGTCAGCATGCCCGTCGTGGTGTGGCGAAGCGTGAGGAGTGTGGCGTACGTTCTCCTCCCTTATGCGCGCGAACCCAAAGTCGGCACCTTCACGTTCCAGTTCTCGTCCAGCAGCAGCAGGTTCGACGGCTTGAGACGCACGATCACCTGCCGGGCGGCGAGGGCGCGACCATGAAGTGTGAGCCGACACAATTCTATTAATAGCTAATAGCCTGTCTGAGACCACACACGACTCACACGACGCGACATACTACACCTACGGCGCACGACTCACGACACACGACACACGACACACACGTCACGGCGGTGTGGCGTACCGATGAATAGAACGATGTTGGGGTGGTGGAGCTCGGAGAGGAAGGCCAGGTAGCAGCGCCACGCCCTGTCGACTGCACTTGTACACGGCGCCGCAGCTGCCGATGCCCACCTGGTCGCCGAGCTGGACCTCGCCCACGCTCTGCAGCATCTGGCAGTCGCTCTCCGTCGAGGCCTGTCCGCGTGCGTGCGAGCCCGACCAACAGTGAGCAACACATGAACACGCACACACAGACGCACAACCGCACACGCACACGCACACGCACGCGGTCCTACCAGGAAGAAAGGATGAGCGCAGGGGGTCCGAATGGGACAAAGGCTGAAGCGGTCGACCTTCCTGAGCCGCTGTAGCTCCCCGGAATGCCAGGATTGGCCAGCACGTCGCCCAACGTCGCAGCAAACTTGTCGCCTGTGATGCCCGCAGCACACACGCCCACGCCCACGCACGCCCACGCACCGCGCACACGGGGGAACTGGTACCGGTCGGGTAGGGTTCCTCGTCGGTGGAGTTGTCGCTCCAGATGTCACGGATCACACCGGCCTGGCCAGGCACGCATTAACAACAACAACAACTACTACATCAACAAAATCATCATCATCAACAACAACAACATACAGCCAGTCATTCCCTGGCCTGGAGTTCCCAAGTGCAGGATGGTTTGTGCCCGGGCACCCTGCGCCACACAAACCAACAACACAAGAGTTTGTTTCACAATGTAAGAAAGATGAAAGTCAAAGAAACACCACATACTTCTTGCATTCTTGATGAAGAGACCATACCTGTTGAGGAATGAGCTGCACCGTCATACGAAGTCTGTTCAGATTGGGAGACTGCTGGTGCAACAGTCAACGGTAGTTGTGTGGGTTGACCCCTGTCTGTCATCAGCCAGGACTGATTGCTTTTGCAATCCGAACGCATGGCCCGACATTGCCCATCAGAGATCCATGCTGTCAATTGCGTTTGCAATCCGAGCGCACATGGACTCCAACCCAACACGACTACAGTGTAGACTGCTGCACTGGCATCATCGCCGGCTTGAGCCCAAATGGTAGAGCCGTCTGGAGTGACACGACACACAGCACACGACATAAAGAGCAGCAAGCACAAAGGCAAAAAAAGCGAAGAGAAGGGAACCTTGGAGCGTCGGCGGCATTCGGGTAGGCATCCATCAGTGCCAGC